AAGGGTCTCAAGTTGCAGGGGGGGAGGTCTAGGTTGGATATTAGGAAAAATTATTTCCAGAGGAGGGGGGTGAAGCACTGGGATGGGTTCCCTAGGGAGGGGGTGGCATCTCCATCCCTAGAGGTTTTGAAGTCCCAGCTTGACCAAGCCCTGGCTGGGATGATTGAGTTGGGGTTGGTCCTGTTTTGGGCAGGGGGTTGGACTTGATGACTCCTGAGGATTTTATGATTCTATGAGTCAGCAATGTAGCTGGGCAGGAACCTGATTATGGGAAATTCTGTGATTTAAATCTTACTATTATTACAGGTTGAACCTCTCTGGTCCGGCACCCTCGGGACCTGACCGGTACCGAACCAGAGAATTTGCCAGACCACGGGCGGTCAATATTGTCTAGCAGCATCACCAACACTTCCACTTATTGGGCTGTGAGAGGACATTTAGGGCTAAATTCAAGCTAAACAACATCACAGAACACTGAGTCAGGACTGGGGGCTGGAAACAAACTTTATGGGACTGTGGGAAATTTGGCCACACCCGTGAGAAATGGACATCCCGCTAACAAAAATCATTCCGGACCACAGATGTTTCCGGACGAGAGCATTCTGGATTAGAGAGGTTCAATCTGTACTATTAAATAGTGATTGTATCCCAAGAGGTAACCAATCAAAAGTGACCTTTCCTGTGAAACAAGTATCTGAAATGGTCATTGCATGTCACTTGAAATGTTTTGTTTTCATCAACTGGAAACATTGGGTTCTGATTTTGATGTTTTAACTTTAAAAAAGTTTCATGTGAAAAAATAGGGAATTCCATTTAAAAAAATGGTTCTGAAACAAACAAACAAAAATCAAAAGAACCTGTTCCAAAATTGTTGACAGTCTGGAAACCCTTCGTTTGAGGCATGGGGTGAAAAGAAATGTCCCGATTTAAATGATTTTTCTAAAGAACTCAAAATGAGCTCTTATCCATGCTGGGCCAGTCTTGTTCCTTGGTCTGGGATGGCCAGATCCAGGCTGAGATATTTTTGAGACTGTCTCCTCAGCATAGTGTAGATGCTTCTGGCATTCACAGCAACTAAGGATACTCTCTTCTCCTCCGGAAGGGACGTGACTCCCCATGAAAAAAGCCCCGTCCAGTTTTAAAACAAATCAAACACTGGACGTTCCGCTGCTTCTCTGGGGACTCTGTCCCATACTGGACAAAAATCTTAAGGAATGCTCCTTGTTTGTCATCTTGGGTGTGTCTAGACTACAGGGTTTTGTCAACAAAAGTGGACTTTTGTCGACAAAACTAATCCTGCGTCTACACTACTGCTGAGTTCTGTCGACATAACGTCGACAGAACTCAGCAGTTTTGTCGACGCTGGTAAACCTCATTTTACGAGGAATAACGCCTTTTGTCGACAGAGTTCTGTCAACAGAAGGCATTATTGCATGTAAACTGTCCTTTGCGTCCACACTGTTATGTTGACAAAGCAGCTTGCTTTGTCGACAGAACTGAATGTAGTCTAGATGCTCTTTGTCGACAGAAGCTTTGTCGACAGTATCTGTCGACAAAACTTCTGTCGACAAAACCCTGTAGTCTAGATGTACCCCTTGAGTCCAACCCTGGTCCCATACAAACAAACAATCAGGACTTTATTTTTTGGCCACTGATTTCAGTAAAGCCAGGATTATGATTAGTTTTGTTCCATTCCTCCAAATACACCTATAAGTTAATAAACAGATGTTTAAATGCATTAAATTAGGCAGCCGAAAGGGAAATATGCAAGATGTTGGAATGCTGGACCCAAGTGATTTCTGATCTCCTAGATTTAGTGTGGGCTGCAGAACTCCTATCCCATATGGTGTAATAAGTTATAAAATCATGAGGGGTGTGGAGAAAGTGAACAAGGAAACGTTATTTTCATAACATAACAACAAGGGGTCAACAGATGAAATTAGGAGGTAGCAGGTTTAAAGCAAAAAAAAAGGAAGTTTTTCTTCATGCAGTGCACAGTCAACCTGTGGAACTCCTTGCCAGAGGAGATTGTGAAGACCAAGACTTTAACAGGGTTCAAGAAAGAGCTAGATAAATTCATGGAGGATAGGTCATAGAATCATAGAATCATAGAATAATAGGACTGGAAGGGACCTCAAGAGGTCATCGAGTCCAGCCCCCCGCCCTCAAGGCAGGATCAAGCTCCACCTACACCATCCCTGACAGATGTCTATCTAACCTGTTCTTAAATATCTCCAGAGAGGGAGATTCCACCACCTCCCTTGGCAATTTATTCCAATATTTGACCACCCTGACAGTTAGGAATTTTTTCCTAATGTCCAATCTAAACCTCCCCTGCTGCACTTTAAGCCCATTACTCCTTCGGTCTGAGCCAGTGTGGCTGTTTTTATGTTCTTACCCCCAGGTAACTTTCTGTTTTCTCCCCCACTTTCATCCCTACAGCTCATGTGGCAGAAGAGAAGAAAGAGGAGGTGCCCACAGTCTCAGGGAAAGTAGACAAAGCCCAAGGCAAGAAGGACAGTTCCAAGGGATCCAAGAAGACAGAAGGCAAAAAGGAGCAGAAAGAAGGGTCCAAGAAAGAGGGAAAAGATGGGACCAGAAAGAAGGAAGGAGGAAAAGGGGCAGCTGAAAAGAAGCAAGGAGGTGGGAGGAAGGACCAGAAAGAGCCGGCGAGAGCTAAGGCAGGAGGCAGCGCCAAGGCTGGTGGCAAAGCCGGGGGGAATGCCAAGTCCACAGCAAGGAAAGCCCAGCAGAAGAAGTGATCCGGCCAACAGCAGCACTGCCCCGTTCCCTTGCCCACACGCAACGCTGAAGACCTGACCTAGCAATCCACGCCCAGATACCAGGAAGCTGGCATGGGGAGCGTAGTGGGAACAGGGAGGAGATGACATCCTTCAAAGTCTGAGGCCACTTGGAGCCCCTGGATTCATTTCCGTAAAAGGGAAATCACCCTTTCTACCGAGGTGATGTTGCCGCCGAAGGAAAACCTGCATTGGGGGGCCAGATAGTTACCCGTGAACTGGGAGGATCGTGTGATCAGGAACTGGTGCCAGCAGGCAGGCTGGATCGAGAAACAGGAGCACAGAGGGACTCATGGAACACAGAGCATGTAGACATGAGGAGCGTGTCTACATGGCAACCAGAGGTGTGACAGCCGCACGTAGAGTTGTACCCAAGTTATCTTTGATTTAGCCTGCTCTAGACCCAAGAGCAGGGAAACTAAAGTGGCACAGGCAGAAACAGCGTCCATACAACCAGGACGGCTGCCCAAACCCCTGTGGCATCGCTGCTTTTGGTGCCCAAACTAGACACCAAAGCTAGGACCAAAGCTAGCTCAGGTATGTGCTAGAGAACCTCTCCAAGGTACCCTGGAGAGATGCCCATTCTACCTGAGATCAATGCTTGACGAGCAATCGCTAAGCCTTCCGCTAGTCTTTGAAGATGTGTGGCATTCCAGAGAGGGCACCGAATAGCTGCTGGAGGGCACCACGCAGAGGATGCTCTCTAGCCCATGGCTCTATTGGAGATGTCTTGGGAGAAGGCTCTTCTTCCCCATGAATTTCTTTATATCTCTTTGGTGTTCCTAGGGGCCTTGGAGAAGTACTTTCTGGACATGCGCTTTCCAACCCCCTGATCCTTTGTGGGTTTACAAAAGGTGTCATAAAGAAAGCTGGATGCCAAATATAAACTAAAGGAACAGTCTTCCTTGACATGCTGGTGACACTGTCTTCAGTTCTTCAAGTCACACTCATTGCCGGTGTGAAGCTGGCAGATCAGGTGCTAGTTTCTGCCAGAGCCCCAAGCCAATTCGCTTGTGTGTTAGTACAGGTGGAACCACTCTAGTCTGGCACCCTGGGAACCCATCCACTTCCAAAGGAGACAATTTTCCGGACCATGGGAGGTCAATATTGCCTAGCAGCAGTACCATCACTTCCACTACTTCCTGGGCTGTTAGAGGACATTCAGTGGTAAATTAGCACTAAATCACAGACCGGAACACTGAGCCCCAGGACTGGTGGCTTTACACAAACTTTATGGGACCGCGGGAAACTTGGCCACACCCATGAGAAACGGACATCTGGCTAACAAAAATCATTCCGGACCATGGAGGTTGCCAGACTAGAGAGAGCTGGACTAGAGAGATTCAACCTGTATGGACAAAAGTGATTGTTAACTGTATCAGCCTTTATCCAATGTTTAAACTTCATGCAATACTAGTGGGGTGTTACTGGCATTGTTTTCCCTTATCCATTTCCCCGATAATTTATTTACAGTGTGTTTAGCCCTGTGACTGAATAACCCATCACACGAGAAAGAAGCCTGGTGGAATGCAAATGAAGAACTCTCATGGGGAAGAGGGCTAATTTCCAGGCAAGTGGCATCCTGTGTGATGCCTGGAGGTCAAAGACTCCAAATGGATCCCTCACTCTCCATCATTATAATAGCCCTGGCAGAAGTGGATTCGAGGAGAGATCCTACATCTCTGGACTGTTTGGACTCTTAGAGGGAAGTCTCAGAGGGGTAGTCGTGTCAGTCTATATCAGGGGTGACCAACCCAATACAGGCAAAGAGCCAAAATAGTGGCGGACAGGTGCCAAGCCAAAAAAACTCTGGTTTGGCTTTTTAGCCACTTCAGGTTCCCTTCAGCCATCAGCCATCTTGCCAGCACAATTTTGCTTTGCCACACTGGACGGCTCAGCAGAGGGAGCACCCTGTGATCACAGGAAACCGAGGGCTGGGGGCGCAGGGGTGGCTTCGTGAGCCAGGAGTAACACTTCGTGAGCTGCACTGTCTGCGGCTCACAAGCTATGGGTTGGCCACTCTTGGTCTAGATCTTTAAAAACAAGGAGTAGTCCTGTGGCACCCTAGAAACTAACAAAAATATATAGATTCACAGAACACTAGAACTGGAAAGCACCTTGAGAGGTCATCAAGTCCAGTCCCCTTCCCTCACGGCAGGACCAATCACCATCTAGACCATTCCTGACAGGTGTCTGTCTAACCTGCTCTTAAATATCTCTAGTGATAGAGATTCCACAACCCCCCTAGGCAATTTATTCCAGTGTTTAACTGCCCTGACAGTGAGAAAGTTTTTCTTAATGTCCAACCTAAACCTCCCATGCTGCAATTTAAGCCCATTGCTTCTTGTCCTGTCATCAGAGGCCAAGGAAAACAATTTTTCTCTCTCCTCCTTGTAACACCCTTTTAGGTACTTGAAAGCTGCTAGAGTGTCTCCTTTTAGTCCTCTCTTTTCTAAATGAACAAGCCCTAGTCTTACAGTTTTCTGTCATGACATATATAGTATTATGAGTTTTTGTGGACCAAACCCACTTCTTCAGATGAGATGAGCTTGCTTTTGCCCACAAAAGCTCATGATACAATATATATTTAGTCTCTGAGGGTATGTCTACACTACAGTACTAATTCGAACTAACTTAATTCAAACTACTTAATTCGTACTAGGCGTTAGTCCTCATGGAATGAGGTTTACCTAGTTCGAATTAAGCGCTCCGCTAGTTCGAATTAAGTTCGAACTAGTGGTTTGCTAGTGTAGCTCCTATCAAACTTAATTCGAACTAACGTCTGTTAGTTCGAATTAACTTTGTAGTGTAGACATACCCTCAGGGTATTTACACTAGCCCCCTAGTTCGAACTAGGGAAGCTAATGTAGGCATTCGAAGTTGCAAATGAAGCCCGGGATTTAAATATCCCGGGCTTTATTTGCATCTTCTCATCCGGGTGCCATTTTTAAATCCCCTTAATCCGAACTAACTGCCTGTGGCTACACGCGGCAGTCAAACATTAACTCGAACTAAGTCCTTAGTTCGAATTAACTGTTACACCTCATGGAATTAGGTGTAACAGTTAATTGTTACACCCACTTGTAACATGTTACACCTCATGAGGTGTGTGGTGAGGTCCATGCAGTCCTGCCTTATGGCCCCCCCTTTTTTTAGTCTCTCCCCATAAATCTTCGGCTCACTCTCACCATCTCAGGTCGCCGGTCATGCTGCCACCCTCTGTTTGGCTGCTTGGCCCATTACCGGCCAGCTCCTAGCCCGGCCTGATTGGGTGCTTGCCGTCGAATTGCTCCGTTCGTCCCCGGCGTGCCTTCCGCCGTTGTCAGCTTCGGTGTCCTGGGGAATCGTTGCTTGTGGCTCCCCCCGTCCTCCAATCGCGCCGTCTCCACCTGTGGGGGTTGAGAGCACAGCCAGCCCCTGCTCTCCTCCCCCCTTTTGGCTCCCGCGTTCTCCCTTTTGAGCATCCCGGGTGGCCTCCCGGCCTCCTACGCTCGCCGTGCCAGGGAGCCCTTCCTGGGTCCTAGTGCCCTACTGCCTGGTGTCCTGCTTGCCTGCGGCTGCGGAGGCAGTCAGCCCCGTGCTGCCCGAGGCGGCAGCAGCGTTTTCCCCACTGGCAGGTGCCGCCGGGCTGCCGGCGGGCGCAGGGGCTTTGACCTCCCCTTCCCCGCCTGCCGCCCGTGTCTCGTGTCCCCCGGGTCAGGGCTCGCCCGCAGGCTGCTGGTCACCCGCTGCGGCCGTATCCGGGCCTCTCCAGCTGCCAGCACCCGCCGGCCAGCTGGGTTGAGTGCGGGCATCGGCTTCCCCGTCACAAGGTGTAACAGTTAACTCAAACTAAGGACTTCGTTCGAGTTAAGGTTTGACTGCCGCGTGTAGCCGCGGGCAGCTAGTTCGGACTAAGGGGATTTAAAAATGGCGCCCGGACAGGAAGATGCAAATAAAGCCCAGGATGTTTAAATCCCGGGCTTCATTTGCAACTTCGAATGCCTACATTAGCCTCCCTAGTTCAAACTAGGGGGCTAGTGTAGACATCCTGAGGTGCCACAAGACTACTTGTTTTTCTTAGGCTGAAGTGAGCCAAATGCAAAACAGTGATTCTCAAAAGTTTTTCCAGGGTCCCAGATGGCCTCTGATTGCATCACTGATTAAATCACTTCCAGCATATGGAATTCCCATTTGTGACTGCCCTGGGTATATCTTATGTTTGTGCTTTTACCTCTCAGCAGCTTGACTTCCTTTGCTTAGCTAATTAACCTGCAGTTCATTTATTATAGAATTGGCCACCAGCATTGTTTCTGGTATGAGATCCATTATACCACATGAGCTGGTGGTAAGTGGCCGGTAAGTGACTTGTTTCTTGGAACGGGAAGCCACCTCAAGGTGATGTGATTTTTGGTATCAGTGGCCATTTGTCCCCAAGTCTAGTTTGTCTGGGTGTCTGGAGACTCTAAAGGGACTGTGACTGGTAAAGTGACCCAGCAGTTGCTTTTTGTCCCAGGTGTGGTGTATGTCACAGCTCAATTCCCCAACCTTTCACTTGGAGTGTAGATATGGGAGCCGGCTAGCAGAATAAACTCTATAAGAACCTGTCTCTGTAACTTCCGGAGACAAACTTGTCCGGTCTCAGTTTCCCTGAGAGCCAAAAGAAAAACTATTAGTTTGCTGCCACCATCAAGTGTAAATAAAAAATATAAACTAAGCCCTTTTCCAGGGAAGAGGTTGCTTGGACCCCCCTCCCTGAGGCAAATCTCTCCCCCCTGCCTCACTTCAACCTCTATTTTGCTTGGAGTTGGGAAAACAGAGGTAATCCGCAGAGAAAATGGGGCTCTGCTTCTCCCAGGAAATGTATGCACATAGGTTTAAGGACACAAAAATACTGGTTAATCAAAACAAAAAGAAAACACTTTTATTATCAAAACAAGACTATTGTTGCAAGCATAGTAAATGACTGGGTGTTAAAAGCC